AAAAAGAATAAGATTCTGGAAAAAGGCTTACCCACCCACCCGCCCTATGTGATGACTGATCTTTGCACATACCAGTGCAATAAATTGTATTTCTTGAGGTCGCAAGATTGTTCTCAAGTATATATGTTGTAATATGTTGTTCATCGGTGCGTATTTGTTTTCGGCCTCTTCTTTTTTGTTTATGAGCCCACATGCATCAAGCACGATCAAGAATACATACATGCACAAAAATAGTAACAATAATAATAAACAAACAATTGGTCTGGTGGGCTTTCACCCTTAGTGCACACAAGTATTCTGAGGGGTTGAACATCTGACTGAAGCCTTGAATGTTCAAAATATTCCGACTCCAGCCCCTACCGCAAGTATTCCAAAGCACCTTGACGCTGTTTCCGCCTCCCCCTTGCAGCTCTGGAACTGTTTGGGCATTGTTTGCCACGCCAAGATCTTCAATATTATAACCCATCTTCTCAGTCACCCTGACGCCGTCGACGGATCACGTCCGTCACGTCCGACCGGGTCGCGGAGACGGGTCGGCATCTCTTTGTCGCGACCCGTCTCGGGCCGAGGGACAGAATCTCGAAGAGATGCTGCAGGAACTTGGCCTCGCTGCGGAGCCGTAGGCGGAGCAGTAGGCGGAGCGCTGGTCGGTGGGCGATGGTTTTGCGCCAAGCGGCGGAATCCCATCCCATTCTCAGACTTCCAACTGGCATGGACTGCCCTGCACGGGAAGAAACTCTGTCAGTGTCCGAAACTCTGTCTACTATAGGATCACTAGTCATTTCATAGCCAGGTACGGTACTCCTTCTCCAATCTCAAAAGAATCCTCAGAAATCCTGACAGTGGCACCTTCTTCGAATCGACGCTCCTCCCGCCTGCGATGGTGATGTTCTTACGCTGAGAGGCTGGGACGGCATCTGGGAAACACGGTGGCAACGCTGTGGCAGCTGGCCATGGCAAGGCCAGCCTCGATGCGCCGTGCAACGAGAAAAGCGCACCTCCGTCACCTCCGTCCGTTGCTTCTCAGCTCCCAACGCCAGAAAATAGCGCAGCAGCCTTGGGCACTGGTGAGATGCGGTGATGTTCGTGTTGCCCATGTGTGCCCTACTGAACACCCACCGACCCAACATGCGAGCGAGCTGCATCGTTGGGCACAGGAAACTAAGACATCGATTTTGAGCTGTAAAGGTCGACCGGAGACCAGTCCGGTCGCTTCGATGAAGACATCGACCCCACGTCTGGGTCGAACGGTCGACAAAGGCGCCGGAAATCGCGTGACCCTGGAGTGTCCAACTTGAGCTCGTCTGATCCCTGGAGCTCTTTGATGAGCTCCAAGCTGTTGCGAGGAGGAGTTACAATGTCCATGTGGTGTTTATGATTGTTTAAATGTTGTTGTCTTTACAGTATGCGTCCTGTGTGTTTACCTGCAGGCAACCACCCGTGGCGTCCACCCCGAGAGATCCATCGGCGTCCGAGGTCCGGAAGCACTCCGGCCACGACGGAATCCGATGTTCTTCTCTGCCTCGGCTTTGCTCCTTCTCAATTTCTTTGTGAAAGAGATGAGACAGGGTGTGAGACATCTATGTTCACGTGCCCAGCTTTCTTAGGGCGACCACCTGGTCAGATCACCTTCCTCTTTCTCCCGACTGAAACATCCGCAAAAAAGAACCATCTGACCAAGCCGTCAGGATTCAGAGATATTCAGAGTCACCCGAGTCAGAGCACGTTAGTTCCGTGCCTACTTCGTCCCAACAAACACACGTTTCGACCAACACAGTCCTTCGTCCTTCTCGGGTGAGCGCCTCGGACCGGAGACGTCTCATCTGACCTCGTCCGGTGCGTCGTCTTGTGCGTCGAAGCTGGTGAAACCCGTCCAAGTCTGCACCATGCGCGGCGAGGCGTCGCTGGAGTCTTCGGTGAAGCGGCTGGGCGTCTTCACCAGGCGAGCCGTCGTCGCGCCGCACCACTGGTCGATCAACGGCTTCTGAGCACGGAAGATGGACGAAGAACAAGGCGTACGTCATAGAGTTTACGGGAGAGAGACTATAAGACTGAGTCTCTTTTACAAATTACAAAAGGACATGTCTCCTCTCCTTGGTCTATATCACTTGCTTCATTTTGTGTCCTCTTCCTCTCTTCCCCCTGGCCCATATCTGTCTCTTCCGAGCGTCGACATGCTGCAAAGCCTTGGCAATATCTGCTTTGGCCTCACACGACGGGGACGACGGGCCGTGCGGGGCCGAAACACCACGTGGGCGCCGAGAGCCAGCGCCTTGGTCGCAGCCGAGATCTGGGCGACGTCCTGTGAGATCGAGTCCATCTGATGCTGAAGCATGGCCATATGATCCTTGGAGGGCCAAAAGCACCAGCCGACATGTCGTTTGCAAACTTCATTGCCTGTATGCTAGCACTATACCCGAAGAAGTGTCAAAAGGCGAAATCAACTCTGGACTTGAACTGTGCCCAGCCGCAAGTTTCGAAGAACTTCGAGGATTGCTATCCTCCACTTGCCAGGCGTGCACCTTCTGCGCAAACTCCTGGGATTGCTTCCGTCTCCGACGCACCTTTCGTCCCGATGGTCCACCGACCACGAAGCGCGAAAAGCGGTCTGACGGTGACGCGACCTACTCAAAGCCCGCGCCCGCGGGAGCAGGAAGATTTGGGGCGAAAACAAGCTACAGTTGTTCCATGAACGCTGAACACGTACATTTTTTTAGCAACACGAAGTGGAACAGAAGCACTCACCGATTTCAACTACGTTCGAAATGCTTGACCTGGTCCTGGTCCAGAACGGTTTTTAGGGAACGAAAGGGACATTTTCCTTTACTGCACTATAAGGAATGGTTTTGTCTTTGGACTTCTATACCGCATACTATATTAGCCCTGTCATCTTGGATTCCCCCCAACTCGACCCTCACCGCGGACTGCGGCGACATACCCCGGCGGCTCCTTCAACTTGTCCGGCATGCCACGCAGCTGACCGGGGTCGACGCCCTTTAAGCACTCGCTCAGCTTGCCGATGTTGATCCTGAATGGCGACTTGTTGGGCCCACTGTTGGAAGCTTCGGAGGAAGCTTCGCAGGACTACGTCGGAGTTGGAGTCCGCCACATGACGGACCCTTATAGATCATATAGATCTTCAAGAATCCCTTAGACCGCCCGCCGCTTCTTCTTTCAGCCGACCCCAAGGACTGCCGCCCAAGCATCTCAATCTTCTCACACCTGTCCGTGAGCACCGCCGTCTTTTGCCGTCCCCAATTGTCCTGGGGCCATCGACTGAGGTAGCTGTAGCTCCGCCCCTGCTGACGGAGTACTCGATAGGGAGAAATTCCCAGATCGATCGATCCCCACTCTCTCACCCATCTCTCTGGTGGAAAAATGGCCGACAGGTCTCCTTCTCCACAATGGATTCTTGGCGAGCACCAATCGATTGTGAAATGAACTCCAGCAGCTTCGTCTGCTCCTGCCAGGTTCGTTGAGTGCTGAAGCGCATGGGGGGCCAGCCCTGGAAAAACCGTTCAAGCAAGCCAGCTATTTGTCCACTTCTATCGAGCAAAGACCCCTTTGAGACCGCCCAAGAAGCCGTTCTGAACTGTTTCATCCCATCTGAGCAGCTTCGAAAACCCCTATTACTTTTTTGTATAATCCAGGTTTGCTTTCGCAAAGCTTTCGCGGAGCTTTCGCGGCCTGCATTCTGGCTTTCGCGGAAGGTGTGGTGTTATGTGGGGCTTTCGCGGCGGCTTTCGCGGCGATTCGTTTTCGATTGGGAAATTCGATTGGGATATTGTACAATAAAGTGATTGATCTATATAAGTTATCCGATATAAGTGTCCTTAGGGTGGTCAAAACTGAACAAATTTCTTTCCGGCAACATCCTGGCACAAGGAGTTGTAGCAGCACCGTTCAAGTATTATTGTTGTCATCAGAAGAGGAGGAAAACTTGCTGAAACTTTTTGCTGGGGCCAGATACCTTTCCCGGATATTTTCGACTTTCGCGGTTCTTTCGCGAGGCTTTCGCGCGGGTTTCGCGGAAATTCGTCTGGGCTTTTCGATTTTCCCCTGAAACACTTGCTCTTCAGCGCTGCTGCTGCTGCTGGCTGGTGTGCTGCGGCTGGCTGGCTGGCTGGCTGGCTGGCTGGCCTGCTGCGGCTGCCTGCATAAAAAATATGGTCACCCACATAAACAACACGACATGCACAAGAAATTCGACTTTCGCGAAAGCTTTCGCGACGCTGTTCTTCTGGGGTTCTTTCGCGGGGCTTTCGCGAACCTTTCGCGACCTGCGTTTTGGCTTTCGCGAAAGAATGTGAGATTACAGTTTGCACACTTTCCATCATAGAGGTTTTTGAAGCTGCTCATCTGTATACTGTAGTCTCAGGAGTCCTGAGTCATGGAAATCATGTCGGAGAAGCGGTTCCGCATCTGATAGAACATCAGCTCTTCTCTCGACTGGCCGGGTCTGTCGCACTCGGTCGGACGGACTAGAAAACATCGGCCTGTCGGGGGACGGAAAGCTGATAGAGTTGGTGGATGTGCTGAGAACGGTCGCTGATGGGTACAGTAGTTAGTTGGATGATCAACATTCGAATGCACCTTTGCCTGCCACTCCGTGCGACGTGCTTGCGACTTCGTGCGAGAAAGCACGTGATCGCAGCTTGAAGGCGTGCAATCAAGTGTGCCATGCGCAATGAAGTGCAGAACAAACAAGTATAACTGCATGGCGGATAGAATGTGTAACATGCTTCAGCCACGTTGGTCATCTTTCTTCTGTAGTACCTAAACTGACTTCCACACACCGTGCTTCCCCGGCGCCACCGGGTCCCAGACCTTCTGTTGCATTTCCGAGACCTTGTGCTTTCGCCTCCGCAGCGAACGGAACGAACGCATCGGGCCGCCCGAAGGCGAAACGGTGTACGGCTGCAGGGTTCCTGGTTCCACTCTCTCGACGCAGGAAGAAAAAGAATGTCTATAATGGCTATATAATAAATATATATATATGACACTTATTACACCATATAGTTAGTAATATAGTATATATCAAGAACATGTCTCAAAAGGTCTATGATGGTCTATCTGAAACATCAACACTCCCACGCGACCCGGTTCCCGGCTGTTTTCCCCCGCCGTTCAACTCACGACCGACGACTCTCGCCGCCTCGCCGGACTCGCCGCGAGGGGATCCGATTCCTCCGTCTTCGTCGCAGCCTCCTGTGGTGTGAGGTTTGGTGTGTGAGACTCTCTCTCTCTGTTCTTCCTGCGTCCGAGTCAACTGAAAAACGAAATAGAAGCGAAAAACGCAACAGAACACACACAAGCACACACACAACACACACCAACCAACCAAAACAAATTTCTAACACACCGTTTCCATGTTGCCCCTGGAGCCGAAGGATGCAAAGGAGCCACAGTTCCGGTCTTGTCCAACGAAGGCACCCTGCACCACCCTGCTGTCGCTCGCTGGCTCGCTCGCTCCTGCTGTATCTCGTGTTGGGCAGCTCCATACATGCTGAGCCAATCCCCCCCTTCACTTTCCGTGCGCTTCGAGTGAAACTTCCGCAGCATGGCGTTCACCTGCAGGGACGGCGCGGCACGTCGAAGAGGTCGGTCGTGAAAAGAGACCACGACTGGCTGAAGTCCCAAACCCAAGCACGTAGTCATGGCCGTCACCTACATTGCTTGGGACTTCAGGATGAAAGCGCCTTCTTCAGAAACTGAGGCCTTCGATTGTTTGAGGAATCGCTGGCGAGGGCTCAATAAACCGCTCGCTTTCTCCATTTACTCAAAGCCCTCATGGGCCGCGTGCCCCCCGTGCCACGTGGCACCACGTCGATCGCCTGTTCGGACAAGACCAGCAACTTGTTCACGTTGGTCCTGGCCGACCGACCGTCCCGGAAGACGCTGGCCGATGGGAGACTCGGAGTCAGTCGGCCTGGTCTGTCCAATCATCCGCACGCCATCCGTCACGGAGAGTTCCACATTGTGCTCCTGACGTTTTTGGGGAGGTCGAAGAAGAAAGGTGAGAGAGAGAGAGAGAAGCAAACAAGTTCTGACCTCACCACACATCCTACCCTAAGAATCCGGGCCCTTGTACTCTATAATACTATAGGGCTTTGAGGGTCTGGACCGGACTCAGATTCTGGTACTATACTCTATAGGACTAATGTAGACTCTTGATTACTAAACCACCTCTTTGAGGATTTTCAAAGGACTGGTCCTGCTTCTTGGCCCAGCGCGAGGCGCTCTCGATGAGGTACTCGGCGTTTTGCTTCGTCATCCTGGCGTCGTTACTGGCGATGGCTTCCACCATCTTCCACCATCTTTTTAGCGTCCGAAAGCTACTAGTAGTTTCTTGAAAACCTTCAGCTCGACCATTCGAGTGGGAACAGACATGAACGTCGTGTCAAATCTTTCAGGCCCGATGGCTCGGCGTCGGTCGAGTCCGTGTCGCTGGTCTCCTGTCTTTCGAAAAGGCCTTCTTCAAACTTCTTATCGTGACCAGCTCCGCGGGATGAGCTGGAAAATCATCATCTTCCAGTTCACAAATCAAGTACCACCTAGAATTTGGGGTGCGGATTGCGAAGTGGCCGGTGTTGAGAAGAACGAACACGAAACTCTTCGTCCGGCGTAGTCTACCACCGTGAAACTCCGACCTGCCACTGGCACCTGCTCCCAGAAGAACAGCTTCAAGAACAGCTTCGGACAGAAAACCTCTTCTCATTCGACCTATTCCTGGAACCCCAAACAACCAGAAAGAAAAGGATGTTTCCCGAAACAACCATTTCCAAGTAAACGATTTCAATTGCCATATTGGAACAACCATTTGTTTCTGGTTGTTTGGGGTTCCAGGTTCAAAAAATGAAAAAACTATTTGAACAGCAAATGACAACGATTGATTGGACATAAAACATGAGAAAACGTCTACGGCGTATCCGTTGCAGACTTGCAGCATGTCAATGAAGTTCTTCGTCTCCTGGAACATCGTTTCTTCGACTGAACCCTGAAGGGACCTTGACTTCGATTCAACCGCCGTTTAAACGCGTTCAGTTCTCTGAGTCTTCAGATGTGTTCAGTACACGCTGTATTCGCCAGATTCAGTTCCAATTGCCCCAAAGGTGTTCAATTCTCACCCGACGGAACCATGACTATACATACATCACATCACTGACTGAGAAGGGAGGGGACGAAAGCCAGCATCTGGGCTAAGGGGTGCCCTCAGGGCAAGCCTGGCCAAAGACTTGGCGTACGTGCATGGGGTGAAGTTGACAGCGCAGCCACCTCGATAGGGGGTAGAAACAGGAAGTCGAATACATAGGATTGGAGGGTGTGCCCTTTTTCGTCTCTGTTCAGGGGCGTTTTGGAGGTGAAAAAGGGCGCCTGGAAGGAAGTGAGGGGCGTTTGCCTGCTGTGTGTTGCGAATCATTGAGCAAAGACTATGGGCGAGGCTATGGGCAGGCTATAGTGAGGATACACATATGTATATAGGTAGAGTGGACAAAGAGTAGCCGGAAGTGGTGAAGTTGATATTGGAGCCACTTGATATTAAAAAACCCTGTACATATTGTATAACCACTTATGGCCTTATTGCGGTTAAACTCTTTATCGTTTTTCAATGTTTGGAAATCAGTATACAGTCTCTTATCGTTTCATGTTCCTGCCTCCACTGCAAAAGTCGGTGTCTGTTGTGTGTGTGCGCGCGCGTACAAAATTTACTGGTTTCAAAGAAAAATTGATTCTCCAAATTTCCTTCAAACAGACTCCAAACATCAAGGAAAGTGCAAACTGGACATGAAAAGATTTTTGCAAGTGCAAACTGGACATGAACAAATTTGTTCATGTCCAGTTTGCACTTGCTTAAAAAAAATCATGTTCAGTTTAATTTTTTCATGTCCAGTTTGCACTCCAAACATCAAGGAAGACAAGAAATTGTCTATGTCTCCTCTGTCTCTGCGTCTATTCCCTTAACGGGGAGGCCGGTGTTCACCGGTAACTCCGATGAGGTCCTCGCGGCCGGGGCGGTGCGACCGGCGAAGCCTTTCGGATCTCTTGGTGTAAGGGTTCAGCGGTCAAACCCCCGGGCCTGCTCCCTGTGTCTCACCGTTAAGGGAATGAAAAAGAATACAAAAAGTGGTGCGTGAATTGTTACTTGTTAGATATTTGGCTGGTCAAATTCCTTCATTTCTCGTCTTCCCTTGATGTTTGAAGAGTTTTGAGGGCGTTTCTTAAATTTTGAATTTGTACATGGACATTTTCGTGTATTTTTGCCATTGTTTCTGCTATCGTTTTGTTATCGCTTTGGAACCCCAACGCTTACACTGATTCACATGGGTGGACTTGTCGGCCTACATCCACTGAATTAGAACCCATGCATGTACATGCAACTACTTACCGGATCAAGAACTGAAGGCATGTGAATTTCCAATGCTTCTGTTCTCATGTACTGTATTGCTTGTATTACATGAGTGTTATCGCTTTTAATTCCCGAAAGCACTGCGAAGGGTTCTTCCGGAAAACTCCTTGAACGCTGACACTTCGACACTTACACTTACACACTGACACTTCCACACTTGCACTTGAACACTGACATTTCTACACTTACACTTGAACACCGACGCTTCCACACGGACACTTGAACACATACACGTCTATACGTATCCCAGTGTAAGGGTAAAAAGCATCCAAGGGTAAGTATGCAAGTGTATGCAAGTGTAAAGTATGCAAAAGTGCAAAAGTATGCTAGTATCCCAGCGCAATCCCAGTGCAAGTATGCAAGTATGAGTATGGAAAACTTGCACGGGAGATGTCCTAATGAAAAACATTTCCCCACTTTACAAATTCTCTCTTAAAGGCGGAGGGTGGGACGAACAGCGTCAACCGAAAAGGCAACCCTCTGCGGAGATCGTGCGTGTCAAGTGCGCGAAGTGCAGGCGAGACTGCGATTGGGTCTGTGCGCGCGCAACCCTCTGCGGAGACCCTGCGTGTCGAGCGAGCGAAGTGCAGGCGAGAGTGCGATTTGCCCGGTCCGCGCGCAACCCTCTGCGGAGATCGTGCGCGTCGAGTGCGCGAAATGCAGGCGAGAGTGCGATTTGTCCCGTGCCCGCGCAACCCTCTGCGGAGATCGTGTGCGTCGAGTGCGCGAAATGCAGGCAAAAGTGCGATTGGTGCGGTCCGCGCGCAAGCCTCTGCGGAGATCGCGCGTGTCGAGTGCGCGAAATGCAGGCGAGAGCGCGATTGGTGCGGTCCGTGCACAACCCTCTGCGGAGATCGTGCGTGTGGCGTGCGCGAAATGAAGGCGAGAGTGCGATTTGTCCGGTGTGCGCGCAACCCTCTGCGGAGATCGTGCCTGTCGAGTGCGCGAAATGTAGGCGAGAGCGCGATGCACCCTGGACGCGGGGAACCCTCTGCGGAGATCGTGCCTTTGTAGTACAACTTTGGTACGCGGAGTATCTGGCGAGCTGGAAGATGAGAACTGGCGACTTTGTAGTACAACTTTAGTACGTGGAGTATCTGGGGAGCTGGAAGATGAGAACTGGCGACTTTGTAGTGCAACTTTAGTACACACAGAGTGGGTTTGGGAGGCCACATCACACACAGAGACCCACGCACTGCCTCAACTTACTCGAACACACACACACATACAAAGACTCATATACAGACGGACATAGATACACACACAGAGACCCACACACTACCTCAACTCACTCGACTTAAACACTTCACACTGAACACTTAACAGAGAACTCACACTCTGACTTCCTACGTGATGAAAAATGCTTTCGGGCCACTCGTCGTCTAGTTCTGAATCGTTTTACAATGCACCCATGTTTTGCTAAAACAGGACCACTGCTTACATTTCTCCTAGGTCCTGGGTCACTGCCAACCATTTCTCCTAGGTCCTGGGTTAGGGTGCCTTCAGGGCAAGCCTGGCCAAAGACTTGGCGTGCAAGATGACGTGATTGGCTAACATCGGGCAAAGGATACTCTTATGGGGTGAAGGTGGGATCGCAGGCACCCGATAGGAGGTAGAAGCAGAAGGTAGAATTAAAAGGGGGGTGCCCTTTTCTCGTCCTGGCTCAGGAGTGTTTTGGAGGTTAAAAAAAGGGCATCCCGGCATCCCTCAAATATATTATATGAGTTTGGCTGCTGCGTCTTGCTAATCAGTGAGCAAAGATGGTTGTGGGGGGCCTATGGGCGAGGCTATCGGCAGGCTTTCGTGAGGATACATATATGTATATAGGTAATAGGTAGAGTGGACAAAGAGGAGCCGGAAGTGGTGAAGTGGATATGGCCGTCATTCGAGAAAGAATGGAAATAGACAGTAGAAGTTCGCTCCCCTACCTCAAACCTAGCCTATCGGCTGGCTTTCGTGATTTGTATATTTTATATTCGTCCTATACAGAGCGCAGTAGTAGAAGGCTGCAGCCTGGCTTTCATGGGCCGTTTGGACTCGGCATTCGGGCCGTGATGGTTCCATCGACCCGGCCGAGGTATCGCCTCAACAGCCATTCGCCCACGGCGAGGGACCACGACAGACGTCCAACAGCCACGCTTCGAAAGAACAGACAACACAAAAAAGACACAAAACTGCCGCCCCAGCCAGACCTGTTCCAACCCCAGTCCCATCCCCGGAGTGTCTGGGACATGGTTCTTTAATGTTCTTTACATCCTGATCTTGGAAGAAGCCCACTGTGTCGCCTCCAGTTTTGGAGTGTTTCTTCGAAGAAAAGAAAAGCACGGTCACCACATTACCACATCGGTCGCCACTCTGCGTGTCGCGGTAGACCGCGTCTCGGCTCCTTTAAATTCTCCACAGCTTCTCCCACTTGCTCCAGCAAGGTCTCCGGCTCTCCAGCTGCCGAGCGAATTCGACCATAAGCCTCAAAGATCAAGCCCACCAGGATATTGATCATCAAGATACCTGGCACAAAAACTATAGATTGGGCGAGATGTTCCGAGTGTCCGATTCCTTTCCGAGAAGCATCCGAAGTGCCCAGCTTCTTCGACCACTTTTCTGGGCCGTTGATGTCGTGATCGACAGGTGTGTCGTCAGGTGTCAAGAAGGCCATGCGACACGAGGGAACGCCGGTGTCAGCAAACGCATGACGAGCGCGTGCGCATGGTGACTGAGATCACGGGGACAAGATGCTCATCAAGCTCAAGTAGGAGAAGAACCAAAAGTATGCCAAAACCTCAATTTCAATGAAAAGTGAGTGTCTCCCAAGCTTCAAGCCCTGCTGCACTGCAGGGCAAAAAAAATAACAACATGTCCGAAAAGGCTGTGAGTTGAAGGCCAGACTTCTACTAAATTCGAGTGACTGAATGGTCCAAACCTGTGTTAATTTGCAACATACAGCTGTATATAATACTTAAGTATATACGATCCGAATCATCGCTTTTGGATGCTTTTGGTTATTTTAAAACATCCCCGGTTCCAGAACCTGCCGCTCTGCAACCTGAAACCATGGTTCGAAGCCCTCGATATCGTCCATTTCAACATTCTCGGCCCAGCGAAAGTACCTTGGTATCTGTCTGTCCATGTCTGACAGTTGAGCTCGAAAAGGTGCCCTCAGAATCCGAGTCCAGGCCTTTTCATGCCCCTTCTGTGTTGCTTCGGGGCCCGGATTCAGACAGAGAGAGAGAGAGAGCCCATGTCTATCGGTGCGGCTGAAGCTGCAACGCCGATGGAATGGTATGGTAACCCTCGAAGGTCGTGCCGATCAGCAGCATGCCAGAGCCAGCAAAGCATACGAAGACCTGGGACGAGAGCTGACGACGACGCGTTGAAAAGGCCGTTGGGTCATATAGATCGAACCGATCTCAACTGTGATGGCACCGAGTGCCGATGTCCATCAAAACCTTGCGATGTGTGTTGTTTGACATGGAAAGGGACAGTGAAAGGTGAAATCCCGATGGACCGCTTTCCAGAAGCAATCTTGACCCTGGCTGCTATGGGTCCAACCAGATGGCGCCAAGTGTTCGCTATGGCCGGCACTGGCTGAGCGTTCTCGCTATGGCTTCCAACCTACTAGCAAATGGAACCTAAGAGCGATGGCCTCCAACCTACTAGCGATGGCCTCCAACCTAGTAGCTTCTTGTTACGAGTAGCAATGGCTTCCAACCTACTAGCAAATGGAACCTAAGAGCGATGGCCTCCAACGTCTCTTGGCGGCTCTGGGTTGACCCCGGAGCAAAAAGCTCGCTCCGCTGGGAGCTTCCGAGTTCGTCGGCTGAAACAAATCAAATCCGAGAAGCCAATGCAAAGGCCAAGGCAAAGTGGGCCACGTCCACGGCTGAACCGGTGATGGTCTTGATGACAATGTCCAAACGATCGTTGGATCCTCATGTTGATCACAACGAGACCTCTCTGTGGCTGCCATCAATACTCTGGAGCTCTGGAGCTCAAACGAAAACATCCAAGTGCACTCCTTTGAACCCAAGATTGCACATGACGTCTTCCTTCGGCCCTGGTGAAACAAGAACCAACACGGTTCCGCCAATACCGAAACCGCGCAAAATAGATACATATTGTATATACCACGAGCCCTCAAAACCACGAAAAAGGACGGTTTTTTATCTTACCGACCTGTTCTTTTTGCGGTTGTGGATTGAAAAGCCGGTTTGGGGACAATGATGTCCGTGCAAGTTTTTTACATGGATGTATGAGACCTTGGTTCCCAACTCCGTTCCACACATCATCCGCACAGAAAACAACAGTCACAGCTTGATGCATGTACATATTTGGTATTCAAACACATCATTGATTCGCTGAAGGAAACAAACGGTGTAGCTAGCTATTGGAAGTGGCTGTTTGCTCATGCGAACACAGCACAGGAATCATCACAACCTTTTAAGGGTCTTCATCAAGGCTTTGTTCAAATGCGGGAAATATCCGGGAATATTATAGGGCTAACTTGAACTTATAACCTAAAGGTCATAAGTCCGTAATGCAATAATAAATTACTAGTAACCCTGGTTTCAGTCACTTAACCTTGGCAAAGGTTAGAATTGATTCAGCTTGGAAACGGTTGTATAGCTCTAAAATTCGAGGTTATAGTGAGTGCTTAGGTCTGACTTGGCTATTTCAAAGTTATGTCAAAATAGGGCTAACTTGGACTTAGTAAGTCCAACCCTTGCCCGACCTAAGCCCAAGCCGAGTCCAAAGTGAGTCTAAGCTAAGTCCTATAGCCAATCTGTCAGAAAAGTGTTTGACGATTCCACATATTCCTTTTAAGCCTGAAGTGCAGGGAAGAACTGTCAGACAATTTTCTGACACATATTCCCCTTTAAGAACTTTCAAAAGACTCAGCTGGGACTGGGCTTAGGCTTGGCTTAGACCAAGATTGAGACTTGGCTCGGATCGACATATGGGAAGCCCAACCTCAGTTCAGCCTAATTGATTTGTTCCAAATCCAAGCCACGTCCAGCAAAGTCCAAGCTAAGTCGCTACCTTGGACTTAGCTAGACTTAGCCGTCGACCCAGCAAGCATCTCTTTGGGCAATCAGGAACGCTCGGATCAGGCCCAGAGCATTCAAAAACCTCTCAAAACCCAACATCCCAAAATGTTGTTGGAAACTACCGGAAAACTACGTATTGTCCTATGGGTTTTTATGGGTTGTCCACGGGGTTTCTACGGGTGTTCTACGGCCACGGATTTTTTTATGGGTCGCCTACGGGTAAAAAACCGGGTTTCTACCCTGCGGCCTGTTCCAGTGCTCAAACTTACCGCAACATGAATTGCAAATCTCACAAGCGCCAACCTGTGGTCTCACAAGTCTTCTGGCACTGGGTGACCCCTCCAAGATCCGCGATCCAGAAATTGACATGTCAGCGCAGGTATTTGTCACATTCCACCTGCATTTCCACCTCATTGCTCATGCGTTCCTGGAGAAGTCTGGTCAATAACTTAATATTTTTTGTTGCTCCAATATCCCTACTTGCCGGGTATATCCTCAACTTTGACTTACAACCCATATGTAATATAGGTTATAAACCTGCTAACCTACTAGTAACCCTTGTTTTAAGTCTCTTAACCTTTACAAAGATTAGGTTTGACTTAGCTTTGACTTAGCTAACTCTGGATAGTAACTGCTTAGGCCTGACTTAGCTGATTCAAAGTTATTTCACATCCGGCTAACTTGGACTTGGCTTGGACTTGGTACATCCAACCTATGCCCGACCTAAGTCCGAGTCCAAACTAAGCCCAAAGTAATTCCAATTTAATTCCTAGAAAATGTTGATGGAAACAAGTTTAGCACAAGACACATATTCCGTTTAAGCCTGAAGTGCAGGGGAAACCCTGCCAGACAGTTTTCTGACACACATTGCCTTTACACTGAAGTGACAAGTACAGTCAAACAATTTGTTGCACTTTTCCCCTTCAACATTTAGAAACAAAAGCTGTCGGAAGACTCTTCTCGGAGTTAGCTTAGACTTAAGGTGTGCTTGGCTAGCGGCTAGGACTCAGGAAGCCCAAGCTCAGTTGAGCCAAAGTCTAATCTACATCCAAGCAAAATCTACCTTAGCTAAGTCACAAATAATAAGTAACTACATATTTGTTCCCTCAGACCTAGCTAGACTTAGCTAGCCGTCGAAGGGAAACTAGTTCTGCAGTTGCAGGGTGAAAGGCACGTGTCCAATTGATCAGCCGCTACAATTAATGGTTACTTTCAGCAGCACAAAATCTTGAAGTCCTTTTAATATCCCCCTCTCAAAAGAGGGTTGTAATAATGTACAAAACCAGGTTCTTAACACAACACCTTTGTTTTGCACCAGGGGTGGTGCCCATTGGTAAAATATAGATATATATATATATATGGAAACCGTGTCCAAACCGGTCATCACCGTCTTAAAAAAAAAAAAAACAAACAAACAACGTTTTCTTTTTCAGAACCGAAAAAAAATACATAAAATAAACGAGAGGCCAAAGGCTTTGAAGAACTTCAGCATCAAGATGAACAAATAGACGAAGATCAGCCGTCGCGCCACCACGTGACTCTCCGCCACCTCCTCGGCGCAACGGAAGATCTCCGCCACCTGGCGCTCGAAGTCCTGAGCGAGCGAAGAGAGAGGCGATCCCTTTTTGGGAGGTCACACAGGTCCAGCACCCGACCTGGCCAGGTGCTGCCCAGAAAGCACCTGTTAAGGGTCTCCCAAACAGCCTGGCCAGGAGGGTGGTACAGAAAGATCATCTCATCTCGTGTGCAAAAAAAACACTCCAAACACTCCATGACTATGAGAATCCCCAAAAATGGGAGCTAGAACCCCCAGAGACGCCGGGGGCAAAACCCCCCCCACCTGGCTTGGCCGAACCGTGCGGTTTCCGAGCAGCGAAGCGATCCACCACGCTGTCGAATTCCTGCGCGAAAGGGACAACGACCGAAGGGGTTTTCCGGTTGTCCCGGTCCTCCGCGATGGACACCGGTTTGCTTCGTCGTTTGTTGTTGTGTCGTTTGAATCGCGGTGGTTCGCTGAGACGCGGACCGCGGGTGGAGAGAACTGCGGTCGTGGGACACGGTGAGGGGATCGAAGCCGATCCGATTTGGGAAGATCGACGATTCGGATCTACAGTTTGGTTGGGATCAAAGCGACCTCGCGCCCAGTGCGACATCGAAAAGAAGCGCCACGCCGACGGGCCGACGGACGGTTTTTGGCGTCCTCTGAAGTGAGGTAGGAGCGATTGGTAAAGACCGCTCGATCCAGGGCATTGGAGGGCAGAGGTTTGAGGACTTCTGGCAACTCGCCACTCACCTTCAACACGAAAACCATCCAAAAGGACCTCAAATCACTCGATACAGGCAGTCCCTTCAAAGAAAGGAATTCAATATATACATGCTTGAAGCATGGTGTGGTGGGGAAATAGTTTCTGTTCATGTTGCATGTACTTTCTCCAACCACTCGCTTCATTAGAACCAACTCATTATAGTGCGAGCGCGAGCTATCCTGCCTCCGACCAGCTAACTCGTCACCCTTACTTAATTGAGTAGACGCCTATAAATTAAGTAAGTAAGGAGGCAGGGCTACGAGGAAAAGAAACGGATACTCTTTCTCTTTCTCGAATGCATCTACTGCGCTTGCGCTTGGCGCTTTCGAAACACAACGGGTGCTTTCAAGCACACTGGCCGATCTGTGATCAAGGGGCAAGGTGGTGAACCCAAAGCCGATGGCGATCCAGTCAATCACATTCCATAGTTTCAAGTAGTCCTGACACATTTCACGATCAAGGGATGGAGGCTGTCAGGGTCTCCCTTGAGCGCTAAGAATTCCCTTGGTGAAGTATGTGATACGGTGGCAGAAAAAAAGGTTATTATAGTTGAATGCCACGTTCATCACCTCATAACACCACATTCCGTCCTTGATGCCATCAAGACCATTCATGGCTGCAGGCACCAGCTCTTTCATTTCGCCATAGAAGACATTCCAAAGCCTTGGAATTTCGCGGAATCTGCAACGCGCCGCGTAGAATTCAACAATAATCCATCAATGACTGCGACGCTCACCAAACCAGCTGGCTAAGCTGGAAGGCACGCCCTGCTGTGTGCAGCTACACCAGGGACCATCGGTCTGGATATAGCCTGCAGTCTGTACACAGAATACAACCTACAGGTCAAAGACCTCATTTGACAGGACGGTATATACAAAAACACTATAAGGAGGTGTAATGACGACCAGGTTTGATTGGGTCAGACTGGGATTTCGCTCCGTCACCATGGCGGGAACCCCTCGACCAACACCTTCGGAGAGGCGGGGCGGCTCAGCGAAAAACCCACACCGTCCCAAGAGGTTCCCCAAGCACTGGCGACATCGAGGTCCGACCATCCCATTCGGTCACCCTTCCAAGTCCGGCCGGCCGTCCGAGGTCGTATCTAACAGAACCATGCCACAAGACGGCGAAGATCAGATCTGGGATGGCCAGCCAAAGGTTGTAGTAGGGCGAATCCGCGAAGGTCTCTCTTTTGCCATCGCGGTGGATCATGTATCCCGCTTCGCGAAACTCCAGTCTCAAATTGTCCAAGGTAAACATGGCCTCCCAGCGCAGTTTTTCAGTGGATGTGATCCGGCCGTTTTGGAAAACGAACGAACGCACATCGACAGTCGGCGTCTAGAAGCTCCCCACAAAAAAAAAAAAAACGCGTATGGCCTGTTCGTCCCCTGTTCGGAAAAAGACTCCATGTTACCTTCCGGCATCACTCAAAGGATGTTTTATGGACACCCCATCCATTCATCACTCTGGGTGCCGGTTACAGGAACTTGCTGGCCCTTACCGCGGCTCAAGGCGCTTGATGAGCATTGTAGGAGAAGGTTTGAACGTCGAGAAATCGGGTGTGATCATCCAGCCAGAAGTTCTCAGCACGTTCCTGGATTTGCTCCTGGATGACCTCGTAGCTCTCATGGTAGAAGATGTACCTGACAAAAACAACTTCACCCGCCAACACGGTCGTTCAACGGCACACGGCACGCACCATACAGTCGCGACGCTTGGGGATCACGCGCTGCCCTGGCCGACCGAGACATCCGGTCGGATGTTTTCTTGGAGGGGTGGAGGCCATCGCTTTGTAGGTTCTTTTTGTGACTATAGACATCGGAGGCCGCGTAGGTAGGTCGGCCTCCGGTTGGGGCGGTCGGCTCCAGTTCAGCCGAACCAAACCGGTCTGCCGCGTCCAGGGATGTCGGTGGTTGGACGGAGACGGATGTAGCCGGGGTCATTTTCGAACACCCAGTGGACAAAAACATAAAACCATGTTCCGGTTGTTCTACCAGTTTCTAGTTCAACAATCTCTGCAACTGCAAGCATAATCTCCGTTTCCAGTCCAGTTACCAGTCATCAGGCATAAGCTCACCATGCATAGGGCACTGTGAATAGAGGTCCTGCGGAAAGGCACCAGGCAGTGCCTTAAGTGTTGTTACTTGATGCTGCACGGCACGTGCGTCAAGCAGAACATGTCGGCTCCTTCCACATGTTTCCAGACAGGCAAGCCGTGCCAACGGCATACCAGCGGCGAAAGCGCACCGCTCCGATAATCTGGCGCAACGCTCGGCAATGCTCAGCTTGGCTGCTCAAATCGAACGAGAAAGAACGAACATGAAGAACAAATCCTCCTTCAACTGGTTGGAAGGCATTCGCTTGGTGATTATGTTTTATGTCAGAATATTTGACTTGAAGACCCAACAAAAGGCACGTTCTCTCAACCGACACCAAGTACAAAGCACCCAAGTACTTGGCGCCTGGTGCGTTTTCAGGACCCGTCCCGGAAAGGGATTCGTCTTGAGCACGTCCTGGTCCGGATCCACTTCGCGGATGAAGGACACCATGTGATGCCGCAGGATGTTGCGAAGCCAACCCTCGTAGACCCATTTCCAGAAGGTGTCTCGATCGACGACCCACTCCAGGGCGAAGTCACCTACAAATCACGGTCGTCACGGTAGTCACGAACCCCGAGGAAGAAAAGCGCACGGCCTTCAGGCCTCCATCCTTCGCCGAAAAAAAAGAAGGACAATGCGTGCGTGTTCCAAAAGAGCGTGATGGTCTGCCACCCAGTTGGTTGAGTAGAAACCTAATAGCGATGGCCTCCAACTTCCAACCTAGTAGCGATGGCCTTCAAACTAAGAGCGGCCCCCGGGTTGGAGCTTTGAGTAGCCTCTCTTGCCCAACTCGCCATGTGCAGAACATCCGTTCCATCGTGACACGGCACTGGCAACCCTCTTAACGAAGGCCAAGGCGCCGTAGGTCAAGGCATATTGGTAGGCCCGGGAGCTCTTGAAAGCCTCCCAGACATTCAAATGCAGTACTGCTCCAATGATGAAGGCAGTAAATAGGAAGAGCGTCTCGGGCAAAGACCACAACTTGCTCTTCTTGTCCTTGGGCAGGTTTGGGAAACAGCGTGTGTTAGTCAACATGCAAACATGTCCCTGAAATTCAAAACACCATAGATTTATCTATGTCTATATTTATCTAATAGATTCTAATAGCCTGAATCTCGAACAGCCATTGGTTTTACCAAGGGTTTTACAGTTTTACATCACTACGAAACCAGATCGACCCTGCAAAAAGACTTGGCTGAAGGTGGCCAGCTGGCTCCTGTGCCAGCTGCCAGCTTGGCGGCAACGGGAATATATCGATGGTTCAACCACGCGTTCTGAACTCTCGGAAATCCGTCTTTGTTCTTTGTTTCCGTCTTTGTGCAAGGATCATACTCGTAATGCATCCACCCCAGCAGCTCATGGATGCTGCACTCTGACAGCTTGTGTTCCTGGCGGAGGGGACTCGGACTGGCCAGGCGAGGTACCTCCGTGTGCCGGCACCGGAGCACCGTGGTAAAGAGGTGACTGAGGTGACGGATGGGAAAAAGGAGGGTCCGAAGTTTCACACCTAAAGAAAGTGAACACACACATCCATATACAGATCATTTAATGTTAATGGATTTGTGCAGGTTCCCCCTCCCACCCCCCAAAAAAGACCTCGGAGTTTTAAAAAAGATACGGATGTCTCGCTTTCTCGCGCTGGCTCCGTCCGTCCTTCTCTTGCCCAAATAAAGCTCTCTTGACCAACGAGAAGGCGGCGGTGCCCTCGGTGATGCCTCGATGCACGTCCATGATGCCCACCTCCCCGGTGCCGTCCACGTCCGAGTCTTTGATCCACTCGCCGATGTCCTCCGCGGTGAGATACGTGCCCTCCACGCTGCACAGGCGCACCAGGTCGGAGGTGGAGATCTTTTCGCTGGGATCATAGACGTCGAACGCGTGAAAGAGCTCCTGGATGTCCTGAAGGTTCGAGGGCCACGCTCGCTAGCCGCTAGCGAGGACGCAGGCTCCGGAGGCTCCGGAGGTCGACCGGCCAGATCGGTCCGCGGGACCGCACTGCGAACTAACACGACACGGGGGTGACACGACAGGAACCGTCGTTTGGGGGTGCCTAGCTTGCCAGATCCGGTGGATCGGCCACAAACGCGGGCCACACGTCCTCATTGGTGATCAAATGGACATGGCCTTCTTTGACTTTCTCCCAGAGGGCGCAATGCCCCACGCGCGCCCCGAAGGATTCAGTGTTGTCCATCACTCTTCGACATCAGGCACTCGGCGCGATCGCAACAACGGCAAACGGCGACCATCGGCCATCATTGTCATAAAGTGTTTGTGACTAGACGACATGAACCGGCTACTGCTGTCATGTTAGACTGCTATCGGGCCTCAACCTCAAGCAAAACGCGCATATTCTGCTGTGCACCCGCTAAGCACCTACGAACACATTCACATGTCATGTGCAATTCACACAAAAGCTTGATCAAAGGTAAAGCCAGCATGTTCAAAGCAAATGAAAGGAAAGCAGCAGGACCAAAACGTAAGTGTTCTTGGACTATGGCGGCTGCGGCGCCGCAAGCCGGCTTAACCGTTGGTGGGACCAGCTTCTGCTCAGCTGCAAGACCATCAAGAGTAGTTGTTACTTCAAGTTCAATGTTCAAGTTCGCAATCATGAAACAAATCCGGCGGGGTCCGCCTGAAATCGTTGGAGATCCAGAACCGTCATGCATGAGGCGTGAACTGGGTGTTTACTTTACTCCCCTGTTGCCGCATGAAAAACACACGACGAATCGATACACACACACACACACACACGAGGGATTCCACCACCACCGCGCTGCAGGCTTTCGGCGGGGTCCGGGGGAAACGCTTTTTCTACCGGGTTTCCGGCTGCCTTGAAAGAAGGCGCCGAAGGACTCGCTACGTTCCTTTGGGTGAAACACCACGCTGCACAGTTTGCGAAGCACAGTGTTGCGTTGTATGATTCGTTTCTTTGAACATGGCGAAGCAACCTGAGTGGGATGATTCTGGTGCTGATCAAAACCTGATTGGAAGGCGTACCGACATGGTTTGGTCCATTTGGGGTGAAACGATGCTCCAACACACGCTCAGGTGGCTCAGAAATCCTCTGCGGTCATTCCTCCCATGTGGTGCCCACCTTGGGAAGCCCCATTTGAGCAACGTCTGAACGTGCATGAACGGACACAGAACCGAAAAGCCTCTCAGGTCACGCAAGTCCTGCTTGAACCAGATTCTCCAGACGGATTTCTGGGTGACCGCCAGTGGTTCTAACCCTTCGACCAGGTGCGAAGGGTTAGGGAACCCGAAGAAGCCAGTCCAAGGGCCGACGAAGGAAGGAAGATGGAAAATCCGTTCTGCTCGCTTGAACAAGCGCTCTGAGCAGGAAAACGCCTCCATGACTCCCCCCCCCCCCGGGGTCTCGTGACGGGTGTGCCATGTGTCCCGCGAGGCGCGGCGCGCGCGCGCGCGCGGGACGACGGGGCGTGCCGAGGTCGCCGAGGAGCCGCCGGGATTCTGCATGTCGGAGGTCCAAAGGGTGAGATTGTCTCGGAGCAACTGCATGATCGCCTTGGAGCAACGCACCCGGGAGGCAACTGCTCAAGCAGACGGCTTTCATTCGTCACAGAGCAACCGTCGGGCAAAACCTCCGAAAGGAAAGAGAGTGAAAGGCCTGGTTTTGTAGTAACATCCTCAAATAAAACCACGGTGCTTCGGTCAAGCATGGTACCGGCCGGAAGGAAATGGTGTCCGTTCGCCTGGTCCAAGCTGAGCCGAGCGGAACACCTTTGGGTACGCCGTCTTTGGACCCTCCCCTCAAGCCGACTCAAAGGCCTCCCTTGACATCGAATCCATCGAGTTGCGGCACTGTCTTTGTAGCTGTCCTGCCCAACATGGCGGGCTAGCTGTTCCCGGCTGTCGGTTCGATCCCCCAACCGCAGAGAAGTCTTGACGAAAACCATGGGCGTGCCAAAGAGAACTCTTCGTTCTATCATGTTCTATCTTCCAATCCTTCGATGTGTTCCAAACTTCAATTAAATAGCAATTGGCATGAATGTTTGCATGAATGCTCTAATTGAATGAATTGGTCTTCTCATGTCTCACCTCCAGTCCTTCGAATCCGACACCCCTCCGTCCACGTCTGCTCCTCATCGAGGCTGTCCATGACGGCCATGGCGTCATCGAAAGCAGCTTTCGAGAGCAAACACGCCTTCTCCTCGGAAAGTTTGAAAAATCCTTTTGAAATGAGTTTAAAAAAAAAAAAAAAACACACACACACACATGAGTACACACATGAGCTAAGATAGCAGCATCAACAGTCTCTCCTCTCTTCTTCCTTCCCCTCTCTCCATCTCTCTCCCCATCCCGGACCCTGTCACCCTCCTCTCCAACTATTTCCCCACCCCCGTCCAAGCTTCAGGAGAGCTGAAGACCTCGTAGTAAAAGACCGAGAAGTTCAGGGCCAAGCCCAGGCGCACCGGGTGCGTGGCGGGCAACTCGGAGATGGCGGTCTCCGAGGCACTTTGATACGCGTCGTGCGCCTGGCACCGGAAGGAGCGCCGGAGTGAGCGGAGTGAGCACCGGTGGGTTTGACTCCCCCTGGGTAAGGATGACGGGACCCATGTGGAGAAAAGGTGGTTAAGAGCCATGTTGTTGTCATAAAGAGTGTTCATCATGAAGAGGTTCCTGTGTCCTTTGTAGACCTTAAAAAATCATAAAAACCTCTTTGCTGCCTCTTGCGCACATTTGCTGTGGTTCTCACCCGTCGCGAACTCAGCCAAATACCGATGATAGTCTCCTGGCACTTCGCTAGTGTTCGGCGCATGACCCGCGGTCGTCATTTGGCAGCTTCTTGGGGGCGCATGCCGGAATGTGTTTGAACGCATGCCGCATGAGGGTTTCCAGAAAGTGGTCTGGTGACTGTGAGAAAGATCGATAGGTGACCGAAGTGACCAGGGGGGCCCAGCATTTGTCTAGATGCGACTCTGTGGACCGTCGACGGCGTCAGCGACGACTGCATCCGCAAGCGTCCTTTCATCTTCAAGTAGAAGACCTTGGATTCGCTGCTACCGGCTTTGGGGATCAGCTCTTCGAAGAGGATCTTCAGAACTTCTCGGCATTTTCCGCTCAGCTCACTCTCCACCTGGACCCGTCGCTGATAATAACGAAGAAGACCAGAAGACCAGTCACGAACAAGAGGTGCTCACGGCCAGGTGCTATTGTGTCCTTAAATCCATTCTGCGCTAAGCATATTTATGGTTTCTTTCATATTCTTCGCTCTTTCATCTCTTTCCGTCCTGTTTGTTCGTCTTCACTTCGTACTTTACTCCAGCCTTTTCTCGATATCTTTGCACCAGCTCCAGAATCGCTGCACCTTTCGATGCCGCAGCTTCTCTCTTTTCGAGCGTATTCACCTGGGTGCTCGTCCGTGGGTTGTGGCCACTTCGTGGCACCGTGTGTACGATCCCGGAAGAACTCAATTTGGCCCCTGAGGAGAACATCAAAAATGATGGAAAAAAACAATGTAAAAAAAAAAACGAGCCCTATAAGACCTTCATGGAAACCCTCTCTCTCTCTCTTCCCCTGCACCTAAAACATCCCTAAAACGTCCTAAAACCAAACCGCTCCTCACCGGTTCACCGGCGCCCTCTGGCCCAGGCGCCGCGCGCCAGGCCTGGCGCCGCGCGCCCACGGAGTTCTTGTAGGCCACGGAGAACAAGTTCCGCTCGTCCAAATTCAGCTCGGAGCCTCGTCCGCTCCGGTCGGAGGGGGGCGAGGTCGCCGCAAAACGGCCCACCCCACACGTTCCGCCCACACGGAACCCGGTCACGGGGAACCCCTTGTTTTAGAGATCTCTTGTTTTACACGGTCTCTTTTTCTCGTTTCGTTTGGACGGTCCAGTCGGCCCTTTTCTCCCGAAGGGTCCGTCCCTTGTTTTGAGCTGAGCTGTTGTTGTTCCAGTCAGCGTAAGAAAACATGATCACCATGCCATGCCACTGGACCTGTCAATTTGCTTGGACCTGTCATTGACATGCTGGGCAAGCCACCCATGCAAGCCACTCGCTTCATGTACCTGGTCCGACTCAAGCAGCTATAGCCGCTAGCGGCAGCGGCGCCGAAGCGAAAACCAAGTCGTTGTGGGTTTTTCTTCATGAAAAAAAACACTTCCAAACACATCAAGCGCATGACGTGGAGTTGAGTCATGTTGAGTCACTCAAAAGAAAGCTAGCTCGCGCCGCGATCTTCGCGACGAGTTGCTCCACCATATCTTCAAAGCGCTCGGCCTGCTCTGCCAGGCGCGCCATGAAGACGCACTCATCGCGAGTGCCCGACATGGCCGCTGGCACAAATGGGCTGCGGCGTGGCAACCGATGATATAACTCGGATTCAACGACCAAATGTTTGTGAACCAAACTTTGTGTCAACAGAATCTATGGACCATCATCGATACATAATGTTGACCCCTTATCCACAAGACATGTTGACCCTTCCACTCGAACAGAAACCTATCGATGCCCCGATTCGCACGTCCGGCCAACCCTTCGCGCGTCCGGCCGACCCTTCACCACCTTCGGTCGGCCGTGGTGTCTCGGTTTTCGTCGCTTCCGCGTCTCAAACGGAGCATCGATCCTCGCAAGAGTTGATCCGGAGAACGGAAAAGGACACGGAAGGACATGCGGTGTCATTTTTTTTTCTTCTTTGGGGAACTGAACATCGAGAAATGCTTTCTTCGATTTTGGGAACGGCTTCATCCGCCACCTCTGCGGCTGATCAACTCCGTCTCCAGAAAAGCTCTGTCCATCTTTTCCGCCGGACCCTCAGCTGAAGAGCATGTCGAAGTCATCCTTCGGCCCCTGAGCCAGCAGCGCAACGCTGAAACGAAGGGAGAAATCGAACCAACGACGAAGCTGAACCGGAAACTGTCAGGTTTAGCCTGTACAGGCTCCCCCAGTGTTTTTGTGAATTTGTGTGTTCTTCTTGTGAATCTGTGAGGAAGCGCCTCTTTAGTCTCCTCTTTCTAATGGATTCTGTGTATCTCCACGTCAGACGAGTCAGAACCGGATGGTCTCTCCGCGGATGGTCTCTCTCGGTCTCCCAGCCGGCGCTGTGGACGGACCAAGACCTCACTCAGCAGGTCGGCTCTTGGCTTCGCCCCCTTTGTGGTCTTTTTGCACCAACTGACCTGTTAAAATGAGGTCAAACATGGTCAAACTGACCTGTCAAGTCAAGTCTGGGCTTCATTCAAGTGCTATTTTTGCACGTTCTAAAGTGCTATATATCCAGCATTCCATCAAAGAAATTCAGCAATCAAACAAGGCAAAACTCAGTTTGAAATATGGTGATTCTAACATCCTGTTGCACGAACTTTGAGTTCTGCCCCAACGGCATGACTCTCACCTGGTGATTGTCACTGTGCTTGCGCAGTCGTCCATTTCTTGCATACTCACAACAGGATGCTGAAAAGCTCACGCGCTAGTGAATATATTGCAGTATATGATCAGTATTCACCTAAGATTCATGGGGAAAAAAGAGGTGAATTCCACCGGACTCGAGCTTTCGATTCCCTCGGCTTTCGGTTGGAGCGCGGCTTCCCTCGTTGGGTCCCACACCAGGGCTATCAAAGAGCTCGGCGCTTGGGACCTCCGAGAGTCTCGTCCATCGAGAGATCGGCAAAGACGACAAAAAGCGGCGAAAAGAAGCTCAATGTACTCGATGTACTTAGTATAGTACGAGTACTTTCAAGAACTGTAAAAACATGTTTTGAAAAACTAAGAAATGAATTGAAAATAGCACGCAAAGCACAATATCAGATTTTGTCAGCAATCCGCCCCCACAGCCAATCCTCTCGCCTGAGCCGTCACCTGAGCCGCTGCCTGGGGTGTATAGCCACCGTTGGAGCCGGCACTGGTCTGCGCTGTGGCGCCCGTCTGCGGCAAAGCGAGTTCAGCTTTTCTGGTGTCCGACCCACGATCTTCTTCAGATATTCTGCTCATGTGCATTTGCAGTGCTGCAGAGTGATTCACTTGAAAAGAAACAACACATATGAAAACATGTGCCTGTCTTGTTTAAAAAAAATACAGTATTATATATAATTACGGTATAAAACTATATTATATAATATTATACTTATTATATATATAGTATATTTAAAAAAAAAAAAAAAAAAAAAACAATAATAACAATTTAAAGTGATAAAACAAACCTTGTATAGAGACACTTGACTTGGACCTTCATCTTCCCACAGTGTTGGCCTTGGACTCCCAGCTGACGCGCGTGACCTGGAGCACCGGTGGAAACATTTGGAGACGTGTGGCCACTATGTTTGATTTATGCAGCCCACGAAATACGAGCTGGACATGATTTCGAGAACCGCCTCAACTAGAAGGATGGTAAACTGTGTCCCCTCACCCTCGAAAAAGAGACTCAACCAAAGCGATCCACGTCCCAAAAACGACAACGAACCCGCCATCGCTGGGCGAAAACTGGCACACAACAAAAGAATGGAAACGTGTTCAAGTCTGCGCCACCGAGTTCCTCTTGATGCCGCCGTACCGCCTTCGCCACGACCTTGCCGTCGAAGAACGGCACCTGCGCCGCCTGTCGACACGGTGAGTGTCCGGGTCGTGGGATGGGATTGCGGATCGCGGATCGCGGTGGTGGGTTTTTTGGGGTGTGTGGTCGGTCCGGACCGCGGAGTGGTGTTTGGGGGCGCAGAGCTGCGCCCGACTTTGAGGGGTCACCAGAACTAAGACTCGCTTTTCGAGCCCTTTCGTTTTACTTGGTTCCTAATCGTGTGTGGATATGCTGAATTTCACGTTTGGCAGTGAGCGCGCAGTTTTGGGGGCCATGGCGGAGGGCGGGGTTCAGAGGGCTGTTGCAGTGGACTTGGACTTGATATCTTTATATTAGCACAAATGTTCAAAAACCCTTGAAAGCTTGACGCTTTGTAGTGTACAATCCTTAGTATGGTTCTTTGGTGCCTGTTGAATTCATGGTATCTCAAAGTTAGCAAACGCACTTGAATGTCTTTCATCACGGTGGAAGCATCCCACATGTAGCGGATGACGGTCCGCAAACCAACCGGATGACGGTCGTCGACTGAGTCGTCTTTGACAGCACTGCTTCAAACAGAGGGGGGGGTTCGACGCAGCCGCTGCCAGTTTCTGGACACATCGCACCAGAAAAAGTCGAATCCGCGACTGAAAGGACTGGATCTAGCATCTAGCGAGCATGTCGTACGGATCAAAGCCACAAACACGAGAACGAGGGCGAAAGAGCGCGTTGTTTTCTCCTTCAAACTTCAAGCAATACGACCCGGTTTATCTGTGGCACGTCTGCTAGCTGTTAGTCTGCTTGACAGTTGCCTCGGTTCAAGCCACTGAAAATCATGGTGTTGGGTTGTAAGTTGTAATCAAACGTGTTTATTGCACAAACAAGGTACAAAAACCTGCTTTTGAGGTTGACGGAAAGCTGTCAAGCTGCAGACGGCAACCGGGTGAAACTGCGTTCAAGATTGCATCACTGCTTGGTCAACTCCTCGGGTCCTTTCTTGGATCCCTTCTTCACATGGTGCTTGTGCACCTTTTTGAATCGTTGCCATTTAGAAGCCGAGAACTTCTTTGGTCCCCAGCCTGCTTCGGATTCCGAAGCAAAGCTGAATCCAGCTTTCTCATAGCAACGGACAGCGCGGCGGTTCCTGGCTAACACGCTCAACTCCACTGTCTCACACTGCCAACCAAGGCCTCAGTTCAGAGTCATGTTGATGTTTGCATGACCCGTCTGTTCGTCAGCACTGAGCCGTTGTGAAAGTTTGTTCATAACGATCTTGCATGGTTTTGCTATGTCTAGCTTGTTGTGATTTGTTTTTTGCACTGCAACTGGTTTTAGCTGCAGTTTCAAAAGCAGGCTAGAACGCTCAGTGCCCAATCCCCTTCATCCTCCTTCCAAACATTTAGCAAAACATAGCAATTGTGTTTGGAAAATCTCTGCCGCTGCCGAGTCTCGGTGGCTAAAATCTTCAGCTGCCTCCAAAAGGAACCCACCAAGGCCTTTGCCGCTGTGCTTACCATCGACCTGAGAGCTGTCTGTCCAACAGCTATCCACCAAGAAAGTGCTAAATTTGCATTTTCTGGCCAGGCCCTCGGAAGGTTTCTAAACCCAAAAGGCAAAGAGAACAATTGAACAAATCTGGAGAGCTCATTTCGTCCGAGCAACTTTGATGTGCGAAATGTTAAGGGCCTTTTTGTCTTCGCTGAGGGTGCAATGTACGTAGCCAGCGATCTCTTTGTTTGCCGTAACGATCGCTGGCAGTGTGAAGTGCACTGGATTCGCACCCGATAGAACGGTCTGGCAGCGGTTCGAAGCAACGGCTGGAAGTCACACACGCACTGTCTCTACTCATGTGACAACACTTGTGCATCGCAGTTCATCAGTGTACGCAAACAGCACGCAAAACATGTCAGTTTGGAGAATGATTCGAGTTGTGCTCCATGCCTTAATGCCGTTGATTGCATCATTGGGTGCCTCCAAGTGGTCGCCTTGGTGATGTTTAAAGGTTGCTTGGTTGCTCCCGCCTGTGTGGTGGAAGCTGAATTGACCAATATTGCAAATACCTTTATTGCAAGATAACCAAGGGTCACCGTGAATATTTATATCGAGTTGTTCTTAGTTTTGGAAAAATCCGCCGACCCCACACCGTGGGGTGAGGCGTGACTGTCGATGTTAGCCTTAGGCCTTAGCCTTAGCCTTAGCCATAGTCCTTAGCCTTAGACCTAGTCCTTAGCCTTAGACCTAGACCTAGACCTTACCTCCCCTACCCCTCCGGACCCTTGTTGGAGTGACGAAATCCGGTCGAATTTCGCCAGGAAAGCGACCTGGATTGTCCAAGAATCTGCCATCCCAATTGATTTACATCTTGGGGCACCCTCTCGACCCGCGCGGGAAAATAAGCACGGTCC